TGCCTCTCTGTGCTATCCTGCTGGTTAATTCTCGCGGAATTCTGCAGAGCTGGTTGGTCATCCCTCTGCGCTTATTCCAATTCGCTTTCTCACATGCTAATAATGTCCTGTCACGCCTCGGTACCACTGCGGGTGATTCGTCGTCCCCGATCAGGAATTTAAGAAGGATGATGCAGTGGCCACTGTCCGGTGAGGGCTGTGCTGCCCATCGGACGACGGCACAGTCCTTGGAGAGGGCGATGTCGGGACGCTGAACTGCCTTGTCGCTCGGCGTATCTTGTGCACTCACCACCGTTGACGACCTGAAGTACATGCTCAATGCACCGCTGCACAATGGTATCGCCACGGGAGTCTGATGGGACGCTGCGATCCCAAGCCTCCGTGTGTGCGTCGACGTCTGCACCCATTAGTTGCGGCCCGTCCGCGCAGAGCAGCCCATCCAATTCCCCGGCTGCCATACTCTTTGTACAGGAGGAGGGAGACACACCGACAAAGCCTCCAGTTTCATTCCTGCCTCTGAACGGATGGTCGCCTGCGCCAGCTCGATCCCGGCGGCAGGGCCGGTCCCGCTTCCACCCGTGGCCCCTCACAGACAAGAATGGCCACACCGCCGCCTCGACAGGTGCAAGCAGTCCCGCAGTGCTTGAACCCTGGAAGGCTGAAACTAGTGTCCTCTGGGTGGGGAACATCCTCGCCCCACCCATCACACAATAAAATACATTCTCGCCTTGCAACGCCATGCTCAGCGACAGCCGTTTCGCCACAGCGAGGCTGGCGGCGTTTTGCCGCGACTTCCGTGGACAGGAGCGGGGTTCTTTTCCGCCTCTCCGCAAGGTGGCGACATGGTACGGGTGGCGCCGCTGACGGCACGCGCTGCCGAGCCGTCGGGTTTATCGGAACAAACGCGCGCAATGTTTTGTGGTTTCCTTGCCTTTTTCTCATTTGGTTCTTTTCCCGCATGTTATTTTCGTTACCAGAGGCTTGCGAATATGTGATTATTTCTAGGCTTTCTGTCATTTTCATTCTTCCAATTTGTTCTTGCGGATGGGGCTTTGGGGAGGCGGATGGATCGGGGGTGACGCCGAGGACTCTTTTTTTGCGTTGGGATTTTCTATTATTATTTTTCTAACAGCTACTGTATATTGCTGCTCTTTATTTTTTTTCATTTCTTTTTTTCCGCTTTTTGGATGCTTCTGCCTTTAGTGAGTATTATTTTAAGCTTAATAATTATGTTTTCTCGTACATGGTTTTGGGCGCAAAGAAGGCTGCCTTTTTATCCAATAAATCCAAAGAATCCACTTGTTTTTTTTGAAATTTCCATTGGAGCTCAACCTGCAGGGCGGGTTGAAATGGAGCTATTTAAGGATGCTGTACCAAAAACTGCGGAAAACTTTCGGGCGTTATGTACTGGTGAGAAGGGCGTTGGGCGTTCTGGAAAGGCGCTGTGTTATAAGGGGAGCAAGTTTCACCGCGTTATTCCTCAGTTTATGTGTCAGGGAGGGGATTTTACGAATGGAAATGGCACAGGGGGTGAGTCAATCTATGGAATGAAGTTCCTGACGAGTCTTTTGCTGG